GCCTGGTTCGCCCGCGAGGGACTCACAAGGTCGATTTCGGCCCCGGCCGGGGAGCAGGCCGGGGAGGGGAAGAGGTGTTGTGTTCTCCAACGGTGTATTGCAGCGGGGATTATTTTACACATTTTGATGCACCCAAACAACTCAACCCAAACAGCAGTACGGCCGTTATTTGTTGTTTCCACAACAAGTAGTCTGCTGTTGACCGGCTTCCACAGAGAGAGTCAGTCTACTGGTAGGTTCGAATTATGTAGTTTTCGGACCTGGTAGTTCATGCCCACGTCATCTTGTGCCCTGAAAAGAACCGATCTGGACAAGGGCGTTCGGTGATGCTAGGCTTCTTGCGTCGTACAAGGAGTCCATCCAATGCTCCCACACAGCGCTTCAGGACAGGGTCAAGTTGGGAACTCCGAGCAGCAAACCCCTGCGCCTTCGCTTGAAGCTCCCGCTCCGTTCTCGGCCACTTTATCCGAAGCCTCCCACAGTCGTTGATGGCATCCAGCCCTTTCTTGATTTTCGCAAATGCTGTGCTCGTCGCCATGTGGGGACCATCAGCCGCAGCGCTGACGTCGTGCNGCTGTCGTTGCGGCGAGGCACCAGAGAGCAGCTGCTGTAACGATTCGCACCCGTGTGTTGCGGCGAGCGACGACGGTACGGCGTGCACCCACTCCAGTGCGAGGCCGAACCACCGTCATCGGGAGTAGTGGCCCTGCGTCTCGTCGTGTGCCTGGTACCTTGTGCAGCGGGCGGCAGCACCAGCTTCCTTCCGTGAACGACCGCAATATGTGTGCCCGCGGTCTGTTCGATAAATTTCGCCGCGATTCCTTTGGTTTTTTCTCAGCGGCGGCGTATTTGGGTAGACCCAAACTACGAAGTCAAAAGTACAAATCCGATTCATTTTCGATTTTTGATTCTGCACTTTTTTTGGCAAGACCCACCCTGTTGTTGTTGTCTTCGCATTATACGTATTTGTTGTTGTTGTTGTTGTTTCTCACATTAGCTCTGAACAAAAAAAAAAGATTGGGAGCCCGTGGTCCCAAAACCCGGCATACACGACCCCACGAAGAAACAGAAAAAAATAGGGTATAAAAACCACTCGGAAGAGGAACAAAATGATAGAAAGAAAGACCAGCTTCCGCACCAAACGAGAAAGAGCGTCGAGGAGACCGATCAAAATAAAATAAAAGGAGAACGGGGAACGCTTCCCACACCCGCCTAAATGTCAGTTGCTCAATGCCAAAATCTAGCAAAAGACTCTCAGCCCGTGGTCACGAAAGTGCTAGAGCCATCTGAGGATCTAAAGAACACGCACACATATAACGAGAAAAAGGTATCCAAGAGCCCGAGGAG